TTGCTCTCCCCTGGGCTATTCGCCCCTATCGTCGCCTCTGACCGCCAAAACGCAAAAAACAGGTTGGCGCTGGAATCCCGAGAAAGCTGTTTTGGCACGCTTCAGGACCTTCAAACGGTTGTCTCCCAACGGGGCACTTCCTTCAGTGGAAATGAATCCGTTCAGGGGCCTGTGAAGAGGGAGCTTGGAGGAAGGGTTTATTCAAATATCGTCGATGGGTCTTGGGTTTACTCTGGTCCTCCCCTTCCCCCCTCCTCCTCCTCTTCTCCGCCTCCTCCTCCTCCTCCTCCGACTGCTCCTCCTCCTCCCCTGGCGGGCGGCGCCGCCAGGGGTACCGGCGCCAATCCGAGGAACCCGTGCGGACCTCCACAAGAGAATGCTTTAGAACGTGGCCTGCTCGAGGACCCACGCATCCTCTACGGCCGCTCTGAGTGGCGTCACTGTTACCACTGTTCTACTGCGCTGCTGTGTTCTCGAGCCCAGAAGCCTTCATTTTCGTCGTCATAGTTAGTCGTCCGCCTCTATGGCCATCTCGGAGTTCCCTGATCCCGAGAAACCCATGCGTGCTGGCCCCGATGGGCCCGAAGAGACCCCTAGATCTCTCCAGAATGGCCCCGAGAGACTCTCCCTCCTCCAGGGAATCCAAAACGACGTACGCGCTTCGCCACGTAGATGAGAACACGTCCCCCACTTTTCCCAGTTCTCGAGTCCGCCCTCGTGTCGGGAACGCTCGCGTAATGCGCTCTCTCGACCCGAAGCCCGTCTGAATCCACCCACGCGTGAGCCTCTACTTCTCTTCTGATCCTCGCCGCCGTCTCCGTGCAAGGACAGGAGAGCCCAGAATCGAATCAACGAGTCGGATCGGCGATCCACATGAATCGGACCGGCGGAAATCGGCAGCCGAGTCGGGAGACGTCGGATCGGCGGAAATCGGCTGACTGGCAGGCCCCGCTTGAGACATCGGAGCCCAGATCGGAATTTCGAGGCCGAACCGCCTCGGCACCGGAGGCCATCGAATGGCCGGGTCGAATCGGACCGGAGCAGTCGGCACGAGCCCTGCAGGAAGGGAGGGGGGCCAGGGCGTGCGCGCCACCTGTGATGGGCCTGTTTCCCACCACCACCACCACCAGAAGTTGGAGGGGGAAGGAGGAGGAGGAGGAGGAGGAGGAGGAGGACGAAGAGGAGGAGGAGGAGGAGGAAGACGAAGAGCAGGAGAAGGACGAAGAGGAGGAGAAGGAGGAGGAGGAGGAAGACGCCCTCTCCCTCCAATTTATGGTGGCGGTGGTGGAAAACAGGCCCATCGACCTGCGCCGCCGCGCTCCCGCAAATGGCGGGGCGCCACACCTGCTCTCCGCGGGCCGGGGGCCGGCCGAGGGGCCCGGCCGGCCGCCGGAGGCGAGCGCCGTCATCTTCACCAGGCGCACCAGCCGCGTGAGGCGGGCGATCTTCGTCATGCGCTGCATGCGCGCCAGCAGCGGCGCCTGCGGCGGCGCGCCAGGCGCTCCGCTCAGCGGGGCGGGTTCGCAGCCCGCGTCGGGCTTCGGCGCCTCCTCCTCCTCCTCCTCCTCCTCCTCCGCCTCCTCTCCTCCTCCTCCTCCTCCTCCTCCTCCTCCTCCTCCTCCTCCTCCTCCTCCTCCTCCTCCTCCTCCTCCTCCTCCTCCTCCTCCTCCTCCCTCCTCCTCCTCTCCTCCTCCCTCTCTCCTCCTCCCCTCCTCCTCCTCCTCCTCCTCCTCCTCCTCCTCCTCCTGAGGATGGCGCCATCGCACCGCACCCCCGGCATTGGAGAGAAGCATCCGATGCAGGGAGGGCCTGGGGCCTGGCACGCGAGAGCGGCGCCCATGCGCCGTGCCATGCCTGGGCTCCCGTCGGGCGCCCCGCTCCGTGCACGCAGCCTCTTCGGCTCGGAGGGCCGAGAGGCCGATGCACCGTGCCCCTCCCGGGTCGAGGATCGACGGCGCCTTGGGAGACGCCAGCGCGGCACGGCGCACAGAGGCCCTCGGCGGCCACTGGAGCGAAGCACCGCGCCCGAGGCTGCTCGTCGACTCTGGCCTCCCAGGGCTCGGCGCTCGGGCACTCCCATGATTCCCCGGAGGCCCTGCCGGCCTCGGGGTGACTCTTGGCAGCTGCGAGCCGCCCAGAGCGTTCTGGGGTCGTCCCGGACGGGCGCCGGAGACCCGAGCTGGATCGAATCGCGGAACCGACTCGGACCGTCAAGGGATCGGATCGCGCCCGGATCCTTGCGCGGAACCGGATCGGGACCGGACGGTCCGGGACCACCGATCGGGGTCGGCCTCTGCAGAAGGGAGATGCGGTCGCTTCGCGCAGGCTCGAGATCGGAATCGAAGTTTGGGGGAACGGATCGGATCGGATCGGATCGGGCCGCGAGCAGCCCTGGCAGACGCCCTCGCGCCGCGAGAAGAGTCACCGCGGGAGGCACGAAGCGCCGTCCTCGGACCCTAGGGGGATGCCCTTCCGGGGCCCGAGGGCCGTCACAAAAACGACCCGGGTTGAAAAACGGGTCCTGGGGAAGGGGCTTGGACCTCCAGGGTCTCACGTCTGAGGGGGGGAGGAGGAGGAGGAGGAGGAGGAGGAGGAGGAGGAGGAGGAGGAGGAGGAGGAGGAGGAGGAGGAGGAGGAGGAGGGAGCACCATGGCCTGGACTCTTGGGTGGCCTCCCCATAGCAGGAGCGCTCGTTCCCATGCGGGGGATGGAGGACGCAAGTCCCCTGTGTGCGACCACCCCCTCTGGGCCAGTCACCTCCACCGCGTCGGCGCCCCTGAACGTGACTACCTACCAGAACATCCCAACCCGAGACTTGGATCGACTCGGAATGTGTGTCGGGTCGGGCCGCATCGGCACGGAGTGGGAATTCGCCGACCCCTTGGGGTCTACTCGGTGTGTGAGACTGCTGCCCCTCCCAAAACCCCTCCCCCAGGAGCCTGGTCTCAAGTGGGCCGAGGAAGCCCTCAAGAGGGCCCCAAGACGGCCCAAGAGGGTCCCAAGTTACCCCAAGATGCCTCGAGAGACCCCCAAGAGGCCCCCAATAGGCCACAAGATGCCCCCCAGATGCCCACAGAGGCCTTCAACAGGCTCCCTGGAGCTCTCCAATTGTCCATGGTCGACGCACTCTGGACGTGCACCCCACCAAGCGCAGGCAATTCAGCTTCCCACGCCTATGACTCTTCATCAGCACCTCCTTTCTCCTCTTCCGCCCACACTCTACTGTGATTGGCAGGGGGCCATCGAATCACATTAAAGATCAACAGACGCGAACGCTGGAAATCGCCATCAGGCTGACCGTCCCGACACGCACCCAGACTGTTCCAGTTCATCCCTATGCCTATGGCTCCACTGGCCCACTGCTCCATGGCAACACTGAGAGACTGCTCTTTTGGTGGGTGGATCTCTCAAGCTCTCCGCCGCCTCTGGCGGTGTGCGTTGCGAGCAGCAGCAACGCCGCGCGTCCTGAGGCTCTGCTGTGCTCCTGCCTGCTCGCAACGCACACCGCCAGAGGCGGCGGAGAGCTTGAGAGATCCACCGACCAAAAGAAACCAAAAGACCCCGAGGGGTCGCCGGTGTTGCGAGGGATCGGCATGTTGCTGCTCGCAACGCACACTGCCAGAGGCGGCGGAGAGCTTGAGGGATCCACCTACCAGAAGAAACCAAAAGACCCCCGAGGGGTCGGCGGTGTGGCGAGGGATCGGCATGGGCCGCGCCGGGATGCACAGCAGCGCCATGCAGGCACCGGGCCACGTCGGCTCGGCGCCCGGACGTCGGAGTCGGGTCGGACGGGTGGGGACGGGCCCGGCGGGGCGAGCGAATCGACGTCGACCCGAACGCATCGACGCCGGATCGCATCGACGTCGAGTCGGGTCGAAGGGAGCGCGGCATGAGCCGACGTCGGATCGACGTCGAGCCGACGCGCGCGGCAGGAGCCGACGCCGGCTCGACGCGAGCGGGCGGAGAGGGGCCCCCCTGCCGGGCGCAGCCCGCGGCCGGGCAGGAGGCGCCGACGGCGGCAAGTGGCGGGGGGGAGGTCCCCTCCTCCTCCTCTCCTCCTCCTCCTCCTCCTCCTCCTCCTCCTCCTCCTCCTCCTCCTCCCTCCTCCTCCTCCTCCTCTCTCTCCCTCCTCCTCCTCCTCCTCCTCCTCCTCCTCCTCCTCCTCCTCCTCCTCCTCCTCCTCCTCCTCCTCCTCCTCCTCCTTCTCTTCCGCGCGGGCGCGCCTTGTTCACGCCCGCCGCGTCGTCGCACCCGCCAGGCGGGACGAAGTTTATCCACAGGATCAGCGGCTCAAAGGCCTCCGCCGGGGCCCCGCTGGCGTCACGAGGGGAGGGGGGGGGGAGGGCGCTCGGGGTGAGGCTGAGGCTGGCGGTGGGCACGTGGGCGACGATCCGAATTTCTGGCCTGCGCAGGATGTCCCAGCGACCTCACGCGGTGGCCTACGCAGGCCGCCAGCGCGGCACGCCACATCGGAGACGAGGCGCTACCTTACGCGGGGAGCTTACGCGCCAATATCGGCGCAGTCGAACACATGTTCTTCCGTCGCTTGTGTGGATGCGACCGACTTAACAGTGAGGACATGCAAAAGTTGGCAAAGAGGGATCCATCCATATTCTCAGCAAGGACAGTCGAGGAAAGTGTGAGCTTGGGACTCCTCGTCCACATCACGGAACTTACACTTAGGTGATGCATCCTGTGCGATACCAATGAAGATCTGAATGTAGAGATCGAACTGCCACAATACCCCATCCCAGAACCCTCCCTATTGCCGCCCCCATCCGCCTGTCCGTGCACAAACTCTGATATTTTTGCGCTAGAGGCCGTCGTGGCCTAATTCGTACAACCGCTACGCTGGGATCCATTTTTTTTAACGACGCACACGCCCGCGTGCTGTCCATCTCGCATATCGTGCCGAGGAGTCGACAGGCAACCCTGCCGCAAGACCGTCATCGCCCTTGCCTCCCGAGTGAGACCTGCGGACGGAAAGGATGCGTATATGG